TATATATATATATGTACAGAAATAAAGCGTGTTTTCACCTGTCACAGATGTGACATTTATGTAATAGGTACAAAGAAACACGCGTGTATTCGAATGCAATCTTGTACCAAAATTTTGAAGCAATCGGTGAAGAACTTTGGAGGATTTAAAATCTTGAACAGATGGATTTGCATTTTTATTTATATAGATTTTACTTTTTGTTCTAATAACACTATATCTATCAAAAATATAATTGATTTTTCTGCCTTTTTTCTATCAAAAGTTATTCGCAAAAAAACTTATTTCTAATTAGTTTAAATCAATTGCAGCACTTCTTAAGATCAAAATTGGAAAAATGCTTTCAGAAATTAGATTTCTGAAATGTGTTCACTTGTCGCTAAATATTCTTTTGTTGACTGATTTTACACTTAGCCATAAAGTCGAATGAAATGCTCATAAGGTAATGCTTAAGCTGTAAATTAATGAATATTTGCTTGTTTTGTGATGAGAACATTTGAACATCTGATCGTTTTATGGAATGGTAGATGTATTTGCAATGTAGAGGATTGTTGGTGAAGATTGAAAGGAGCATTTTACTTCAACAATTTGCATCTCTTAGTTTATCTTCGCTATTGAAACCTGTTGTTACCGACTTTGCTATCTAGAGGTATCGTTTTCAATTAATGTTGGCATAATTGATCTAACTTCCAGTTGACGACTATAATGGTGTGAAATGTAAACTTAACTTTTATATCGAATAATAGTCTGAAAGCTTAAGTTGAATGATGTGCGGTGTCCTCTTTTTTATCCAAGAAAGCATAGTTGCAACAAAGTGTCTTCGGAGAAATTGGAGAACGTTTTGAATTTGATGCTTAAAAATTTGAATTAAATCACACCTGTAGCTGATTTTGGGAATTAAAAGAGAAAAAATTACACGCGACATTGTAAAGTAATCGCGCGAGTTATTTCTCTTTTAATATGCTAACTTGAACTACACGAACCTCTTGGAAGTAATCTTAAGAAATGTCCAAAATACGCACATATACCTATAATAGTAGCCATACAGATTTTTAAATTGGAAAAAAAAATTTTAAACAATGGATTTATTGCTACATGTAGACTCAGCCTTTGCTTAGGCCGGGAACAGACTCACGATTTCCAATCAACTCCGGAGTGAAATCGTTTCTAGCAATGACACCAAAATTTCGTTTATTCTTTGATTTGCATTTCTATTTCTTCCTCTTTTGTGTACTAACATTTCCAAATACCAGAGAGCTCTCGGATTCCCTGATATATTCTCGATACGGCCCATCCTATCAAATCAAAAACAGGATACGAATTATAGTTGCATGCAAATTTTTGATAACATTTATAAATCATCACTTCCTACTAAGGTGTGGTAGTTCCAGTAAACTTCATAAGTGTGGTCGATTATTCAGCAAGTGTTCAATCGTTCAATCTTCCTTGTTAGGAGCCATTTCGACTAGCTGCTTCCAACTGTTACAAGCAGTACGAGATCTTAGTAAGTGGTTAATGCAATGGCATCTCCTATTTTTTTCGATTTTAAAAACTTCAGCCTGAGGTTTGCAAAAAAAAAGCAAAGCAGTGAAGGGGAAGGAATATCTTTACTCATGCTTATCGACCATTAACTGATGATAGCAAAATTCAAATGTAACATACAAATTCAAATTTCGGTGTCGGTTATTAAATTGCTTGTTTATCATTACCATACTATTGGGGCATTAACGGATTTGTAACGAAAATGATTTTAAAAGGTTTTTTTTTGAAGTTCTCGTAATTTCAATTCTTAAATTAATATCAGTCTTTAAATTTTCCATATCTTCTTGATCCTAAGTAATGAAACAACTAATACCTGTCGTCTTTTCGCAACAGTTTCTCCATCTCGTCGATCGGTATACAAAGGTGGTGGAAGGTTTTTTTTTATTTTATTTGGTGATGAGTGAAATAACTTCGCTGAAGATCATTAGTTTCAGTGTCTTATTTTAATTAATTCAAAATGCAACAAGTACTTCTCCACATTGAACAAACTGAGTTCGTTAAAAACTATGAAAAAAATTTAATGAAAGTTTCATTTAAATGATAGTTACAATAAACCTATTAGATTTTAGATTTTCTAGAGAAATACAAAAGTTGCTAAAAAACAGTTAAGGAAGGAATCGAATGATAATAGCAGAAAAGTGAAATGAAAGTTGCACAGTTAATTAAAACATCCAATCTTGATTTGTGGGCAAATACCGCTTTTCGGATATTCTTGCAAGTTTTACTATAATAGTGGAAGTCCTTCTTTTACGGTGAGAAATATATTTCAAAGTAACTCTCGAATTTCGTATAAATTTAACAGGATATTTTCATGTCAAATCTTTTCAAGTAACAATCATGCAAAATTTGTTTTTGCCGCATCAACACTTATGCAAAATTTTATTGCAAGAGTTTCAGATCCTGTTTCATTAAGTTCTCCTGTGTTTACAGATCAATCATAAATGATCGAGGAGAGCGTAACGACATTATTTGCGTACCACAGCTGACCGCATTAATCGCATTCCTTTGTGAGGTAACATTTTTATGAATGTAGCAGAGAGGAAAACGATAGGTAATATTTCGCACATATTGAAAAATAATAATGTCAAGCAAGGTGACACACTATGTAGTAATATGGGATAAATGTTCTAATATTGGTGCACAGTTGACATACTCAGTGAAGATTGTTAAATAAAAATAAGCAGCTTGATCTGAGCAAATTATTATACTTACTGCTAGCTCCTAAATTTACCAATAACTCTCAAGCAAAGCACTTTCCAGTTGATATGTTTGTGCTCATACGAGTTAAAAGTATTAGATTGATCTCAATATTTTTAAAAATATCATGTCATAGTTTATCCCCAATATTTTCATTTGCCAAATCTGTGACGTCTGCAGAAATGATAAAAAGCAGAGTTTAAACGACATTACTTTCTAAATTACAGGAACAGAATTATTTAATTACATTGTAAGTTTCTATTGAAAGAGGAGGGTAAAAGAAGTGTTTTAGATGTATGCGAGCTTCAAAATATCTGTAACTTGCTATCTTATACAGATCTTTTGACATTTTCGTGCATATGAAATATGAATAATATAAAACTCAGCTGTTCGCCGTATTCCATTTTGCTGCCAGATCAAACATAACATGGCCATGATGACACCCTCCATTTCTTCCAAGCTTATGTTTTGAAGTAATTTCGATTAAGTGTAGGTTGCTGAGCATCAGAGTCGTTTATCATTATCAGAATTTCTTCACTTAAATGGTGCGGCCACATTACCGCATCAGTTGATACGTGTGGCAGAATATATTCGAAACTGGGAATTGTTTATTGAAGCTGCCGTTAAACCTGGTATGTGTTATAAGTATTAACAATGGTTTAAAAATAAAGCTAGTTTCGAGTAAAGAAAATAGGGTATGAGGAGAGGATGCTAATGAGTTTCTAGGAAGTGCGGTAATATTAAATGGATGATTTCTACCTCTCTTACAAGTGCTCCTCAAGAAATCCCTTTCTAAACCAGAGCAATCATGCCTACTATATCAGTTGGCAGCCAGTTAATTGCAGAAATCTAGAAAAAGGCTAATAATGCATGAAGGAATTAATCATCGTGAGATGGTTCGATTTAGGTAGTTTCAACTGGAATCGTCGTTTATTAATACATCCACTACACACCAAAAGTTATGGTTTCGAAACATTCATGGCATTGAAATATCTCGGAATTGAGCTCAAAATCTACGATGAGAAAACAGGACGTGCAGAGTTAGTAGCATGGCTTCGAAGAACATGCAAGGTAAATTAAAGTGGATGGGAAAGGTTTTAATAACAAAACTTGCACATTGAAATTAGTATATATTACTGTTTTAATATTGCTTCTGTTAAAGAAGTTCGCACTTATCCTTGAAATCTATGAAAACGAATTGTGGAGAAAGTGCAACTTCACATATCGAAAAAGTGAAATGTATGTGTATGTTCAGAACTTCACGTGTTTTCAACAGTTTTAGTAAATTATGCAAATGTAATATCTCGTCAAAATCATTATTAATGTCATTAGAGAAAGTTCTAAGTCGCAGAAAATTGGTATAAACAAACTTTAAAATAGTAATTCAGATATTTCGACAAAGTTCTGCAATAATCCATCATTCATTTTAGACTGAAGAAGGAGAAGCGCACTGTCCAATTTTTTTGTGGAAAAAAGCGGAAACGAAAACATCAGATGTTCAAGAATTGAACAATCAGAAATGTCCAATACTCATTCTCGCATCACATTTTTATATCCCAATGTCTACTAATATTCTCGATACACATAATATATTTTACACAACATTTAAGGTAATTTAGGATATTAATTTTAGTCAAATTTCCTGCAATTGTCAACTTACAACAAAATTTCCGAATTTAAATGCATATTGAATGAGCAGCAGAAAAATAGAAGAAAAACGTCACTTTCGATACATTTATTTATTATCTTTTTTTCATCATCTTTTTCGCATTATTTTTATGGTTATACAAAATCTTAAAATTTTTTTTCACAGTTTCAAAACTCTTTTTCCTATGAATTTGAAAACTCTGAAACAGTTATCGTCAAAGTCACGTGGAATAGATCGATCATTGTCACGCTGCTGCCGGAATTTCAAAAGAAATTCTTTTCTTTTTAACGCCTCATCCAAACAATACTTGGTTAAATTAACTTCAACCATTCGTTTCAAACCTTTAGGGTAAAAACTTGAAAGAAGTGCTGGCTTGCCGATACTCGTGCCATGATTTGCCTCCGTTTCGTTGCTTGCAAATTCAAAAAAGCTTGCTTATCACACTGCCTACATATTCGGATGACATTACCGCATACTGTATGTCAAATGCCGATGATTCAGATATGGCAAAAGATCCTAATTCGCTACTAACTATGATAACATTTATGAGAAGTGGCACAGAAACGGTTCGTATTTCGTACTCTTCTAGAAAAAGTTCGCATTTCTAGTTCGAAAAACTTCATACTTCTAGTTCATACTCTTCCAGAAAAAGAACTGTTGCAAGCACTATTTCTCCTTCAATGGAGACATGTACTGATTTCAGTTTCTAGATGCTAACTGTTGAAATGCTAACTGTGAACAGTTCTGACTTCTTCTTTCCTGCAGGAATCCATCAGAATCCTTCATGAGCTATATGTTCCTCTCTTTCACGGATTACCCAGCAGAACAACTAATCTTGCTGATGCATTGTGTAAGACAGTACCACACATCGACAAGTTATTCCAACCTGATGGATTCGGTGATCTGGGAACATTAGGACACGAGCCATCTTATATCGTTGGGCCACGGTTAACTACAAGCATACAAAATATCGATCGTCTAGAAGTTATGCACACTCCTGGTCCCGATGAAATTGCGTAAATAATTTCCTGATGAATTAGAGTAAATATATTAGTAGTCGTTTCAAAATATTAGCTTTACTCCAAAATTCTCCTTGTTAAAACTTTAATTATAGTTAAATCAAATGCCTTTAAATGCTATTAAGTTTGCAAATAAGAGTATAGAATTAATATTATCATCAAGAGCAAATTGCAGGGTGGTGAAGCGGATCCCATCAGCTGTTAACAAAATGTCCATCCTTGATATGCCCTTTCTTGTCATCATTTGGGACAATAGCAGAAACATACCACTGTATATTGCACGTATTGCTGATCCTGTAGCAAAGGTTAATTTCAAGTATAGTGGCATCTGTGACATTTTCTTATTAATTGACATAATGTCCAGACCAATTTACCTGCGCTTTCATTATGTCATTATTACTCTCATCATCAGCCTTCTTACTTAGATTTTCTTCTTCAGTGCTTCATTCGGGAACAAAAATTCTACCTTTACACATTTTGATATTAAATGTATTGCTTTTATTTTATACTTCCACTTTCCTCATATCAGTTGCTGCTAATTTATCCATCCAAATGAAGGTCAGAAGGGTATCGATAAGTTCATATGTTTCATATTTTATTTTTCCAGCGAAAAAATAGCATAGGATTGTTTCAGACTACAAATATGCATGTTGATGCCACTGAAGAAGTGATATCATCTAACTATTCCGGAAATTTTTTCTGGAAATTATTGAATCCAATGCGCCATGCATTTGGATTTAACACTAATAAAAGGATTTTGGATGGACACGACACTGCACCCAGTTTACAATAATGTTTAACCAGTATTGTATAATAAATTACTTTATTATTAAACATTCTTAAATCATATTTAAAATTGGCATTTTCAAAATTATTGAGAACTCTTTTCCTATTTGTTTACACATTTATTAACACAAATCATTTTAAGTAGACTGAAAAGTAAGCGCTTAATCTCAAAAAATGAAAACAAACAAGCATGAATGAATTACAGTAACACTTTGTAGAGATTACTGTATCCTGTAACTATGATGACTCACTAAGGGACAAGTTTTTAAGAAAATAACCTAACAATGGACCTAACAGATTCAAAATCCATTTCCTGTTTACTTTTTGCTATCATGTTTGTTATCATATCATTATTTCTGTCTACATCAATAAAATATAAAATGGAAAATTGTAGAAGCTGAAGTTTTTTTTTTTTGATGCTCATATAAAGATACTCGAGAAGACTGTAGCATCAGAACTCACAATGGATTGAACTGCCCTACTATAAATGATTTATTCGCAAGGAATCGTTCACAGAAGCCAAATAGCCCATGTCCATTTTTCAACCTTAAATCTAATCATAAATAAAATATTTTATAATAACCTTTAGTAATTCAAGTACAATATCAAAATTAACTAAATGTAAAATATGCAAAGTATATTTGCAAGTTTTTCGTTTCCTCCATTTATTCCAACTTTTATGCCAACTTTACTATGAAATATTATAGTTGAAATTTGAAAGCGTCTATTAGATGCATAACAGACTGGAATCATAATATCACTTTTTGCGAAAATTGTCTTTCATTTTCCAGATATGGAACAGAGTGGTACCGTTTACAGTGAATTGTAGTAAATGGAGTTCTGGAGTTTGGGTAGGGTTCTGATTTCTTTTAAAAGAGTTTTAGCCGGTTAAGATCGTGTTCACAACAATATATTGGATTTCCGACACACATGTGAAAACTGATCCTGAAATCAGTACTAAAGACTTGTACAGGCTTTGCTACTAATCCATAGGAGATCTGAGTGAACTGAGAATTAAATTGTAAATATATATATTCTCGTTGCTTACTCCTAGTATTTTTATCGGTTATTATCGATTACTTTTTTCCAAAAGTTTTGTTTTCTGGGTACTGGATGAAAGATTTCTGTTATTTCAAAAATTTGATGTATTTAGGAAAACGATGAAGAGAAAATTTCCAAATCAAAATCAAAAGGTTTGTTAAAAGTAATGTATAAGTCAAAATTTAGCAAAAATTGACTTATGTAAGTAGAATAACATATAATAAAACAAGTAGCGCAGTTTGTTATAGTTAATTTATAGATAATACAATAACAGTCCAAATTCGAAATATAGAAGAATTGACAATGATTAGGAGAGGCAAACGAAGTAACACAGTTTATTTGGGAGATGGTAGTTTCTACGAACAAACTAAGAGGAAAGAAGGGAATGATAATAAGATCATGATGATCTGTAATTGAGTCCTATATAGTGAGAGTTGCTTACAATATTGAGACATGTGATCAAGTAGATGTACACAATGCATAGTAAATAGGTCTGTTTACATGACTAAAAGGGTTAAACAAAAAAATTATGAAAATATTTATCGCAATTTCATTTCAGCAAAAATTATTTATCTGATAAGTCTATGATATAAACAACTAACCAATAATTCCTTTTTTATGGGTTTATTTAATTTGCTTTGACGTATTATAAATTTCTGGGATTTCCCACAGCTATCGAATATTAAGTCTGGAGGGAATGAGGAAGGGATTTTTTAATTTAATTATTCGAATTGTTTCCATCTTTAGAGCAGCAAGAATAAGATTCTCATTCTACTTCTCAAGAACATTACTCTTTCATTTAGAAAAATTAATAAAATAACTGCAAACTTTGGATCTCATTAGTATTTGCGAAGCATCGGATTCTAGGTTTACTGTGGCATTTCGATAGAAGTACTGCGGTGCAAGCGAAACTCATCTCTACCTTATTTCTCAAGCACTTCTCTTTGATCTTCATTATCGATGCTTTTCTTGGAGCGATCCTACCTTATTTGAAACCATTGACAGCAATTTTGAATAAAGTTTTGAAAAAAGTGTGTACACATCTTCAGTTCACAATATCCGCTGTAAATTTCATAAAGGCATATTCTCACTCACTTTTCAGCAATTATCAAGGACATTTTAATTTTCCCTGAATAAAATCGTTGACAAGATGCCCCAGCTATTCCAGAAGAAACCAGTACAGTCTATCATCTCACTTTGTGGGAGTGATAGACCAATGAGCCAGATGATTTTCATTAGGACTGCGTAGAAATTTAGATAAGTGCGTCACGTATCTTCCAGATGTGCGTTATTGTTAAACTATTGAGGTGATGTTACGCTTATCCCTGACAGTCACTATTAAGGATGTTACATGACTTTGTTGTTCGTATCTTGAATTGCGTTGATATGTGACATCCAGCATGGGGAATATTGCAGTGAGAAAAAAGATCAAGCAAAATATCAAGTTAATATTGCCAGTTCTCTTTGCAACAACCGATCAGTTGCATATGGTGGCTAGCAGGTTTACCTTGAAGTGAGGGGGAAAATTTCGAATACTCGCGACTCTCTTCCGATAATAGCCGTTGTTAGAGAGATATTTTTCATCTCCAAGATTTCTGTGTTTAATGCAATGTTTTAGTTATTTAGGACAAACTGTGCCAATTCTTCTGAATTACAATTTCTATTGTAATTTAAAATTGAAAGTTTTAACAATAATTTTAATGACTAGAAGTTATTTCTAAACAGATTATTGTGGTCAGCCGATTCCTTCATGTTTGATGGCGAAAAACTGAAGTATTTCCGTTATGTCGTAGTTCGTGCGCATATCCAAAAATAATGCATGGAAACGTTTACGAATAAGAAATGAAATAGTTAAGCTAAAGAACTTCTTATAAGCTCTTAGCAATAATTTGACTGAATTCAGGTGTGTTATGTTCCTATTCATAGAAAATTTCATTCACTTTTCATTATCTATTCTTTCCATCGTAATCTTCCTTCGCTATCACAAAAATCTTTTTTTTTCTTAATTAGCATAATCCGAGTTGTATCTATACAAAAAAAAAGAGCAGGAAAATATTTTTTTCGCTCGTGAGATCTGTGTTGTTTATCATTCCACTATTAAATAGATTTTGTGGCAGCATTTCTTTTTTTTTTGGGTTCTGTAAGTTGTTGAATTCTTACTCGTGTTTTATGGTTGTAGACGTTATTCCTCATTTTTTCGTAGTGATAACTTGCTGTTATATTACCGACTATTTGGAAAAGTAATGTAACGTTCAAAGACTCATTCATCATATCTAGATTGATATTGTGGTGACTCCCTGATGATTGCTTTCAGGCAGTATAATCATGTTAGATGACTTTAAAACTCATTAATTGCGCTTTCATTCGTGAATGCTTTAGTGTCTAAGCAGTAACCAACGATATATTTTAGAAGAGGGTATGGAGAGCCTATGGCTAATTATCCTGTTAGCTCTCCCTTACGTAACTAATTCTACAATAAGCAAAAAGTCAGTAATTACATCACTGCATGCAAAATGGCCACAGACTCCATTTATTGCGGAAGCCAGGTGTGTTGTGATTTTAAAAATTCAGTCCACTCTTTTTCCGAAATTTCAGTATAAGCGCATAATAAAACGAAGTAAATCAACAAACTGTTGGGGTTAATTTTAGAATTTAAATTAATGGATTATTCAAAATAAAGAGAAGTTGGCAGAAGAAACATATATTTCTTCCTGACATTTGTTCTACTGAATTTCAAGAGATTTAACGATTAAATATCATATCCCCGAATTTTCTTTTCTAATATATTGTAGTTTGCAGTGAATTTATGGCTCACGAAAGTGACAGTTTATTCTGGGCCTATATAGATGAAATTGTTGAAAAACTTAATGTTGACGAGTGGCATACATGTAAGTTGTCGAGTGTTTAAATTATTTAATAAGCCATTAAGAAAATTTGGCATTTCTTGTAATCAAAGCGTATAATAGGAGCGCTACATTTGTCTGCAGTCATTTAAATGCCTTGCTTTGTTTTGATGGATTAATGGTTGATGGTTTTGAAAATGATTTTAAATTTATAAAGTTTTTTTTTATTTGCAATTGGAAGGCTTGAATTTCAGACAGCGATGCCAAACAGTACGATTTAACTGTACGTTTAGCAGGCTATTTGTTGCAGGAAGCTCGTGTGAATCTTTTAAAATTTGCTTTGTCTTTACGAGCTCATTCACCAGCTGTATTGCTTTTCCAGAGAGTTAGAATTCCCTTCTTTGCTTTAAATTTTTTCTTCTTTGCTTTGAATTTTTGAAAGATTTATAAATTATGATATTATAATGTTATCGTTTTAACGAGAAATCGTATTAATCTTAACTCCTCATATTACGTACACCTCATTTTTTTTATTTAAAAGCTCAGGTTATCAACTAAAAAAAAGAAAAAGAAACGGAAGAGGAAACTTTTTCGCTTTTCTCTTTGCATATTTAACAAGATGTTTTTCTCGTTTTTTTCTTTTTTTCCAGTTAGGTGCTGAAAAGAAGAAGTCATGTGCTGCATTTGCTGATATTCATGGTATTTTAACATGTGATGTAAATGATTTGGAAAAGGTTATCGAAAATGATATGAAGTATTTTTTTCCTTTTTTTATATAATCAAGTGTTCAAAAAATAAGGTAAACATTCATTGTTGTCGTTTATATGTTTCATTTTACTCATACATTTTCAGGGGTCCTGCACCAACAGTGTATTCTATTGATCATGTATTTCCTGCAACTAAAGAACATAATGTTACCTTAATTATATATGGTGAATTAGGCTCAGCATCGTGGAGGAAATTTCATTTAGCTGCAAAAGCATTATCGAGAGGCGGCAAAGCCAGATATGTCCTTCGGCATTTTGTTAAAGTAAGTTTTTTAATAATTGCATTTTACTTTGGACGGTAGTTGAATTCTTATAAAGTAATCACTGTTTTTTATATTTGTGACAGCTAGTATTTAGTAGAGTTCTTTGCATTATATATTATTAAAATAAGAAGGCACTAACATTTCTTCCAATAGTCCAATGTCCAACTTTTGCGTAGAAGTTCAAACTCTAGGATGTCCGTGATGACAAGCTTTTGTTATCGGGTTACGGCGTTGAACTGGCTATCAAAAGCACGGAATACAAGGCAGTTGATGATAGCAATACTGTAACTGGTGAGTTGATGATTTCTTTAATAATTTATGTCATCTTTTCTGAGCAAGGTTTTATTTATAATCCATATAATTGTAATTTTATAATCCATATAATTATAATTTTTATAAATCTTTAGTAAACCCACGAGATTAGAAATCTAGATGTAATATTTTTGCAGATAAAATGGTAGTAGAGGAAAGTTCAGAAGAGTATATTGATAACGAAGAAGATAATTGTGGATTCAACTTCAATATACTGCGGTAAATGTTGTACTTTTTTAAAGCTTTGCGAAATTTTCAAAATTGCTTAATGGAAGCATGTTTCACATCTGTGTATTGCATTGTGAGAAGCACCGTTAATTAATGCCTATAAAGTGTTGCTAATCGATGCCACTTTTTTAGTGCTGTTGATCTTATTAACACTGCACTGAAAATTATAAATGATTATAAATTCAGTAACGTCTAAACTTTCTCATCTGAAATTAAAGGACTTCGGGGATTGAGACGAACGTTTCATGGACTGTTTAATTTCAGCAGGTTGCATCATGATTTAAAAGAATCGATTGAGCAGTTTCGGTTGCATTTGCTAGAACGTGATGAACTTACTCCGCTGAAAGTATGGCAGGTACAGGAACTTAGCTATCAGACTGCTCAGAGAATTGTTCAGGCTGGACCGCAGAAAGCCATTAATATCATGACGGATTCAAGCCAAAACTTCCCGCTTTCTGCTCGGTCACTATCACGACAAATAGTGCGGAAAGAATTCATATCTGAGGTTGTTTTTAATGATTTTTATTTCCAGAAAATTAGATTTATTCCACACCGTCACCTTCTACATGATATGTTCTCTTCGTATATTAAGAATTTTCCTTTTGTTTAGCTATTGAAAAAAAAGAAATTACATTAGTTGAAGTTAGCTGCTTGCAGGTCAGTGCAAATCAGGAGCAGTTAATGGAGTACGGCATCTCGGAAGGTGAATCTATTTTTTTAATCAATGGTATCATGGTGGATATTGATGCCCTGGATGTGTTCCAAGTGCTTGACTTGTTGAAACAGGAGGAAAAATTGGCAAATGGATTTTTTCGTATGGGAATTAAGGTTAACAGGTTTTGATGTAGTAAAACTATTATTAGATTGCATTGGACAAATTCATTCCGGTGGTAAGTGTCTTTAAAATTATATCTTCAAGACTTCTTTCATTTTTCAAATATCAATTACCAACGCACAGTATACTATATCATTATGACGATTTAATAGTATGCAAATAATGTAATGATTTAAGTAATAGAATTCTCGATTTTTCATGAGTTTTCTCTGTTAGTAAAATGCGTCGTTCTAGAACGAATATCTTTCCATGCTAATGGACCTCGAATTAAGCAATGAACGTTTGTCATATGCGCTGGATTTTAGATCAGCATCTCCAGAGGTAAATTGAGTAGTTAAGGTCTTGCAGAACACAAGATACATTTAAATCTTGTGTTTAGATGAATGAATTTAGATGATCAAGAAACTGGAATTTTATGATGTTTCGAAAATCAAAAATTTTTTTGAATTTTGAAAGCATATTTTTTACTTTGATTTCTGTTATTATATAATTTCTTGCTACGTCATCAAAAGATTGATAGAAAGTATATTCGTTTCAGTACCTGAATAATTTGGATACCGATAAACAATACCGGCAGTGGGCAAATAGTGTGGGTTTGCTACTTCAACCCTATTTTCCTGGAATGCTTCGACCAATTGCTAGAAATTTATTCACTTTGGTAATTTTTATGACCAGTGACCGTGTTTTCAATTTTAAATGATGATAAAGTGACATATTCTGATAATATTTCTCTATGAAGGAGCAAGTTACTGATGCTTTTTGAAAGATCGAAAGATAGCGTATTTTGCTAAACGCCTTTTTAATTTCAAATTTGTAAAAATCAATTCACAGAGGACCCGGCAATCTTTATGATACAATACCGTTGTGTCGGTGGTGTCTACCTTTTGCTTATTCAAGTGCACTTGTTTAATAATTATTTTTGTAAATATCTGCTTTTGTGCTCATTTATATTTTAACAAGCTTCAGATAATTAAAATCGAGGATAAATTTTTCTTCCAGATTTTCGTTGTTGATCCATCTCAGAAGGAAACTCGTGATTTATTACATTATGCTCTGCGATTTTATGCTCATGAAATACCTGTTAGGTATTCCCTTCAATTTTCTAATTTCTAAAAGTTGAACTTCATTTGGTGTCGTGCACATTTGCAATATTATGCATAATGCCGCTAAATAGAGTCCCAGAAAATTGAAAAAATCAGAAAATTCCTGGGATCTCAGGAAAAAAAAATCCCAGAAAATTGTTAATGATAATGATTTTTTTTCCTACCGGCATATACTAGAGAATAGTCGGCGGTGCCGGCTGTTCTTTAGTATATACTGATAGGAATTTTGAAAATGACAGGATCCATATCACTTTACGACACATGATGGAAGTCCAGGTATACAAAAATATTGGCAATAATTGGTATCAGACAATAATCTTCAAATTCAGACTTGAAAGTGCTAGTTGTAGCAAACAAAAGATGTTCAAAATATGATGAGAATTTTTTAATTTGCTCCTGAAGGTACAGAATATCCTGTGTAGTTTTCAGGCTTGGAGTTGTTTTCGTGACTAATGATGAGAAAGAAACAAGTGGTTTTGATGATGCATCCGTTGCTATGTTGAATTTATACAATTTTATCAAAATGAATAATGGTATTCAGAAAGCACTGGATGTCTTAACTGAGGTTAAAAGTTATCAAACTCGCTTTTGATAGCCATATCCCATACTCTTGTTTTCTTTATTTTTTCATATCATCTCATACTCTTGGGAAGCCTCGTCCTTCTCCATTTTCTTTATTCTCGCTATTTTTGTGTCGTACATATGTTAGCAACTTTTCCGTCTTCCACTCAACTCATTGTTATTCATCCCTTGAGATTGTAATTATTCAGGATTATAGCGTTGGTGCAAATTTTTGTGGCAATCGTTTTTTTTTCTCTTTTTAAAAAGTTCTCACCCAAATAAACAATATGTGGAAATTTTATGCTTCCAGGTTCTAAATGTGAAGGAAGAGTCTGTGTCTCCAAAGGATGTCTTATCATATTTCCAAATAAAATATCCTAATCATGATCCAAATGACGTCTTTGGTAGTGATTCCGACTATAATAATGGGCGTTCAACAGGTTATAAATTTCTTCGCGATAGTGGGCTTGGCTTGACTCCAAAAGTGCTCCTGAATGGTATTGTTCTGGACGATTCTGGCGTAAGCTTAATTCTTTATTTCTTTTCATTAGAACTATTGGGCTGGTATTCGGTTTTTGTAATTTTTTTTTTTTTTTTTTTTTTTTTAACAAGCAGTACTTTTCAAAACATTTCTTTGACTTATGGCAGTTAATATTGGTTGCTTTAGTTTCCTTTCCTCCTTAGTATCCTTGACTCTGTATTCGACTAATTTAAGAAATCTGAATCTGCCCTCCTATTATCACGTCAACAGGCTTATGGCTGAGGTACTGATTAAGCAATAGCGATCACGATGTTAGAAGTCGATTGTTATTGTTTACGATTGAAAATTTTATATATTATTAAATAGCAGCCATTTTCAGTATCCATTAAAATCGTATTGAAGAAATGCAAATATGATTGCACAGAATTCTCTTATTTTCGTTAACGGCTTTCAATGTTATCTAAAATTCCTTCCAAAATTTTGTGCTGTAACCAAATAATAAACAAAGAAAATTTGTATATTCTGGATTATTCTCTGAAGAGATCTTTTTGTAGATAACAGCTGACCATTTTGAAGAAACTGTAATGATGGAAATCATGCGCGTTACGTCGCGTTTGCAGAAGGCAGTGATGGAAAAGAAACTAAAAGATCAAGATAATGTAATGAATTGGATACTTTCCCAGGTATATGTCATAGAATGTTTCAAGGAATTTAATCATAACTTTGGGTTTAACTTTGAAACATTTTCGAACATAAACTGACTTGAATTAATTTAACGACTTTAATTCTCTTGTAACGATTGGTTATTTTGAATGATGCTTGCCAAAAGTTTTAAAAAATGTGATTGTGAGATTTCAGGCAAAATGTATCGAATATATCTTTTATGATGGATGTATATTTATTGCGATATCCATGCTTTCACTTTTTAAAATTTCAGTTCAGATTTTATTGCACTCTCTTTAATTTGGTTATTATAGCCGGAAGTTATGCCACGAATCAACAAGCTTATTTTGGATTCACCGTTATCACCAAATGCGTTGTATCTGGATTTAACTTCTGCCAAAAAATGTACAAACGTATCACCTGCACAGTATTACAAATTACCGTCAGAAGAGCAGAATCAATGCATGCTAAAAGGAATGCGATACATTACGAGGACAGGTAGGTAAACAATCACTGAAGATAAGGTAAACAATCACTGAAGATAATTGTTGTTTGCCAAGTGTCATTTCATATTTCAATAGACTATAATGTCTGTTTCGGGACACTGCGAGTTTTTATTTATTTATGATAATCTGGAATGTTTAATGGATGTGTCAGTAAAGATAATTACTGAGAAGCTGTAATCAGTCATTTAAGAGCATAATGACTTGGAAGCATTCATTGCTTGCAATTATTATTTCAAATCCATGTTTTTCTCTTTTCTTCTTTGAAACTAGCCAAAAATTGGTCTCTGATATTTCAGAGGAAATGAAAACTCATTTTTCTACTGTTTGGGTTGTGACCGACTTGGAAACTGTTGAAGGACGACTTTTGGCTTATAATGCAGTTAGACATCTTAAACGTTCTTATACTATGCGTGTTGCTATCATCAATAATCCTAAGGATGTGAGTTTTTCTGGTCAGTACCAGTTTGATACCGCGTTGAGAAATTTTTAAGCTCTGCGAAAATGTATTTCCATTACCTAATTTCTTGTTATTCCGAAGCATTAGTATAATTGATTTTCTGATTAAACTGAGACTATGACGAGGTATGAAGCAGTAGTTTAAAAAATTGTTACTGTGAAACAAGTACCAGTTCTTTTTCGTAGTTCCGATGGCACACAATTTCAATACATGCCTCCATCAGCTAATACTATGTACTTCTTTGAGTCGTGCATAAATAAGAAATTATAAAAGATGTTGCAGATTAAAGCAGCAACTACTTCTGGCAGTATAACGATGCTTGTGAATATCGCGTCACGCTTACTTGTACCAAGGCAAATGAAATCATTTGTAACAAAGCTTGTGAAAGAAGAAATTGTATCGAAACTGCTAAATAAACAAATTACTTTGGATGATCTTGCTGTTAATGTTTGTTTTTTCTTTTTCTTATAACCAAATATTTATTTTTAAATACCACAAATGACTAGGAAGTATAATACCTTTTATGCAGTTATGAAATTTGATCACGTTATTCAAAATTTTTAAAAGCTGTTTGCTGCATCTGAATGATCTGTTGAAATGGCACGGCTAAGCTATTATGCTTACCGGAAGTAAATTTTGAGTGAGAAAATCTAAGAATATGATTGTTGTCCTTATTTATGAATCTTGTTCTAAATATTCCTGCATATTTCTATTATAGGATATGAATATGACATTTTTTTACAAGGAATCGAAACAAATAAATAGTGACGAAATTGTCGCTGATGCTAGGTACTCAAAAGATATTCTTGGCTTGAAACCAGGACAGTTAGCTTTGGTAGTGAATGGCTTACTTATTGGACCACTTAGCGATGGTGAAGTTTTGGATGTTGCCGATATGGAATTAATTGACAAACTCATTTTGCTTCGAGGTGGAAAGGTATAGGAACTCTAGGTGCTAAGTAAATTTTGGAATCTTTTTGGAGTTCTCAGATTGCATCAGATTTTGATCTAGAATTTTTCAAAAATACAAAATACATGTTGACGGGAAGCTTTGTTTCCTTAATAATTTTATGAAATTGAAGCACAACATAAACATTTAAAATCTAAAACAACCGTTTTTAATTTAAAGGTAATTGGAGACTATATGGAGAAATGGAAAATACAAACGAGACATGGGGAATCATCAGATATGGTTGCACGAAGCATGGCTTTGATTGGAAGTGGTGTTGCCAAAAAACGACGATCCATTGCACTTTCAAGAGAGAAAGAAAGGTATACCAGTGGTATTTCGTGACTTTTTGAATCTTAACAAAGTTAATTCGTAGTTGGTTTGAATCGGTATTGATAAATGGTCGTTTACCGAGCCTCGTTTATTAATTAATTGGAGACTAAATGAATGCGATCGACCCTTACTGTATGTTGCTATTCTTTTCCGTGTCCAAGTTTACTTCATGCTTTCATTTTTTCTATTTAATAATCATATCTTCTAGTGTCGTGACGATCTATGGAAACAACGAAGAAGGCATAATCTTGGTGCTATGTATTGTTGACCCATTGTCTACTCAAGCTCAACGACTTGGCCATTTACTAACTGTCATACAAAAAGTTGTCAATGTGGAAGTGAAATTAGTAATGAATCCCAGAGCTAAACTTAGCGAGCTTCCATTAAAGAGGTGAATTTTAGTGGTGCTATTTCGTGGATATAAGTATGGATCATCATTCTGATAAAATTTTTGGCGAGTATTGTCAAGACTTGATAGATAGCTTGATTCCAGGTTTACTAGTTAAATTCTTCGATCAACTTTGCCACATCCTAAGGCTGTCGTTTATGAGCATTTATATTTTATGATTTTTGAAATTACTTCAGTTTGTAACGGATCCAGCTTCCGTGTTGGTAGTTTCTCAAACAAATGACTCGTTATTATAGGTTTATGAATAAACAGTTTACAACTGTAAATTTATAGGTTTTATCGTCTCGTGCTACAACCGACGGTGATGTTTGATGATTCGGGGCGTATCGATATTGCTGCTTATGAAGCACGCTTCACAGCGTTACCAAACAAACAGTTGCTAACTCTTGCGGTTGTTCCACCGGATGCTTGGATGGTTCAGTCCGTATATGCCATTTATGATCTAGACAATATTAGGCTGGAAAATGTACGCGGCATGATTTTTGAGTTCTGATACTTTTCGAAGTCTTTTTTGGTGATATGATATTGATGATGCACGTTTTTTAGTGTCAATTTGCATCATCCATCATAAGCATCATATTTGAGTGCTTCATCATGTCTTGTGCTATATGCAGTAAAAGATAGCATCAGATTTGTTGTGATATGCCTGTTACATAAAAAAGAATACTTTCCAGGTAGCAGGAAATGTGCTTGCCAAATTTGAGCTTGAGCATATTCTTCTGGAAGGTCATTGCTTTGATGATATAACTGGATCACCTCCACGTGGTCTGCAGTTTACTTTGGGCACACTAACAAATCCGAGTCGTTATGACACAATTGTTATGGCCAATTTGGTAAGCAGAATTTCAATTTTTCGAAAACGCATTAGAATTATGGAACTAAATGAATTGTGCAGATTCGGTACTTTTTTAAACAGTTCATTTAGAGGAGTACGAAAAATAGAACAATTTTTGCAGTATTTTATCATTATAGTAATAATTAAAAATTTTAGGTAATCAGTGACTACATTTGGCTTTTCCTTTTCTAGAATGCTTTGACGAGAATTTTGTCTGTTTACCTTACTTTTAACGAAAATTTTATCCGCATGCTTCACTTTTATTCTCATTTGCACTTGATAAATGAGTTCTTTTGTTTAGGGCTATTTCCAGTTAAAAGCTGATCCGGGTGCTTGGATCTTGAACCTTCGTGATGGTAAATCGAAGGATATCTACAACATTGTAAGGTAAGTGAATCAATGATAATTCAGTGTTAATCTTCTGTTTGAGTTTTTGTGTTATCTGAAAGCATACCTGTTGATAATAGTATTATGTTGGCCTGTGGAAAATTTGAAGTTGCATAAGTGATTTTGCCCTTGAAAAGATCTTTTTGGAAGCTATCAGCAAATCAGTAAACAATCCTAGATACAATTTTAAGATGCAAATAAACAGGTCAAACCAGTTTATTATAATTGATGAAAGAGCAAGGAGCCACGATTACTTATAACCTGATTATTTATTAAACAAGCAAGTTTATAAGTATTGAGTGATGAATAAACATTTGTGATGACGTGAATTGTTTACAGTCATGTAAATACAGAACTGGAGGATGAAACCGGAGTAAATGTACTAATCGATTCATTCAGTGGTCGAACAATTCGTATTCGGGTCGCCAAAAAAAAGGGAAGAGAAAAGGAAAATTTGCTAAGTGAGAAATCGGAAGGAGAGAGCGAGGATTATCTTTCCGTTTGGAGCAGCATATCGACAACGTACGTTGTACTTAAGTTTAGAAATTATTTTAAAAAATTTTGATGGATTTCTGGAATTTTTAGGGAGTCATCTTTCTCGTCAGAGATCAGTTGTTCGTTACCGCTAGTTGATTCGAGTAGCTTAAATTTTCACTTGTTCATAATTTTACTTTCCAGAAGTAAAAGTGGTGGTGAAAAATATGATGCGATTAATATTTTTTCGTTGGCATCAGGACATTTATATGAACGTTTCCTGCGGATCATGATTTTGAGCGTAATGAAACATACGAAACATCCTGTCAATTTTTGGTTACTTAAGAATTATCTGTCACCTAATTTTAAGGCTAGTTAACTCTCAGATTAGCACACTTTCAGTTCTGAACAATTAATCGTATTTTAATTTAATTGATTTCTGAACTGTGGTTTATTCTAGGAAACGTTGCCTCAAATGGCTAAGCATTACGGTTTCAAGTATGAGTTTATAGAGTATCGTTGGCCACGTTGGTTACATCAGCAAACTGAAAAGCAGCGCGTCATGTGGGGGTAAGATATATTAAAATAATAAAACTGAGCAAACATTTGGACGTTTAATAATGCACAAACATGCCAAACACGAGAAAACATCGACTTTTTACGTATTTATTTAATTTAGATTGGTGGTTAAACTACTTATCGAATCTTTTTCGTAGATTTTATGGAAATAAGTTTTTGTGAAGTTTATTGGAATTGACATATTTCTTTTTAATTTACTTGGTATTTTAGGGATGGATTCGTTTCATATATTTGTATCTCTTTGCAGATACAAAATACTTTTCTTGGATGTTTTGTTCCCGTTAAGTGTACGAAAAATAATTTTCGTTGACGCGGATCAGATCGTTCGGACAGATTTGATGGAACTGATGGAGTTGGATTTGGGAGGTGCTCCATATGGTTTCACGCCATTTTGTGATAGCAGGACATCGATGGATGGTTTCAGATTCTGGAAAAAAGGTTATTGGGCTAATCATCTTGCTGGTCGCAAATATCATATCAGGTCAGTTTGTTACGTTTTCTTCTATGTCTTATATTTCGGGTGTCTATTTTGTGAACTATTTATGAGTGAGTTGATTAAAAAAAGCTGCATGCTAATTTTTAGCGCACTTTACGTAATCGATTTGGTTAAATTTCGTCAGGTGGCTGCTGGTGATCGGTTACGTGGTCAGTATCAAGGATTGAGTGCTGATCCAAACAGCCTTTCAAATCTTGACCAAGTAACTTTTTTCTTTCTTGGTTCTATCATAATTGATTTTGTCCATGTAGTACTTTGTTTATTAATTTTTGTTATTCTCCAAATTTTACTATATCTGCAGGATTTACCAAATAATATGATTCACCAAGTACGCATTAAATCATTACCACAAGAATGGCTTTGGTGTGAAACATGGTGTGATGATGCTTCAAAAGAAAAGGCAAAGACGATTGATTTGGTTTGTTGTCCATTCTTTTTGAATAAGATCTTATTCAGTTACTCTGCCGTAACAAATAAATTTAAATCATTTACAACTTGTATCCTTCAAATCCAGTTTCTTCCTTCATTTGTTCATTATTTACTTTCTGTTCTTTTCTATTTATAAACACTTTTTTCCACAAAAATCGTTGGGAGATAATTGAGTTGACTTTTATTCAAATAATTTTCCAAAAAATTGTTCTGGCTTTCAGCGAAATTTTTTCAGGGCATAGATTTTATGTCATATCTCTCTTTAAAAAAAAAAAACCGAAAAAACTGCTATACTCTTATGGTTTCAAATTTTAGTGCAACAATCCCCAGACTAAAGAACCGAAACTTGATTCGGCCATGCGAATTATTCCAGAATGGAAAGATTATGACGCTGAAATAAAGGTGTTACTTGATGAAAGATCAAAGAAGTATGCAGAAGAAAGAAAGTCTGGGCATAAAGCAATTGATGAACACACCGAGCTATAAATTACTCTTTTTCATTTTTATAATGTAAAATTTTCATTATTTGAAGTTGATGACATCAGAATTGTGCTCCGTAAATGGTGCTTTACACCATTTACGGAACTTTTCTAATCTTTTGTTGTGCTTGAGATTCCTTCTCAGCCACATGAAAGGATCTGCAAATCAAGATAGATTGAAGGAACAGTATCTGTGAAAAATATACTGTTTCCAGATATGAAGTATTTTGTAAATAAAATGCTTCAGTTTTATCGTGACAATTTAATATTTTCTGTATTTAATCGTGGTAGTTGGATTTTGTCTTTGCAATAAAAATACTTCCTTTTGAACTCTGGTTGTGAAATGAAGGGTGCAGATGAAGTATGGATTATTCAAATATTGCTTCTTATATTCTTGGTGAAAAAGATCTTTCATTGTTTTTATTCATAAAGTGGATTCTGTACTTTTTATATATCTATAAAATATGGTGATTTTTCTGTAAGTTTTTAAAATTGTTATCCGAACAACAACCTAATCAGGGCGGACTGGATGAAATAAATAGGCATCATAAGCTTCATTCAAGAATTTAATGCTTACTCCTGTCTTTGGTTAATTGCACCAGATAATTTGGTATGAACTCACTTTCAAGTATCTTTGGACTGATTTTGTTTTGATGTTTTATTCTCTCCATAGCATCTGCATTATTTATATTGTTAAAGCTTGTGGGATAAATTAATTTTATATACATGTGCATTTGAATGATACTTGTATTCTAAACATTCATCTTGATTTTAATTTTTGATTTATGGAATAATCATTTACTACCATCTATTCTTTTCATTCCTCTCTTTTGAAATAGTTCTAACTACGCATAGATTTTTAGATTGGTCAAGATCTTGCAAAGTTGAAAATCAGATTTTAAAAACGATATGATAATATTTAATGAAAAGAATTCCGTTCATGACTAGCTTATGTTTACCGAAACTGTTGCTATTGGGATATTACCATTGATTTTAAGTCAAGTCGACGACAGCTTTTTGAAATCTGACCCCTCGATATATTGACATGACGAGTTCCTATCCTGATTTTTTGTTGCTGACTTGTGCTGCTGCTGTACCAATGTTATGAGACAATCTATAAGAGCATTTTATGAAAAGTGCGTAAGAGTGTAAAAGCTTTTCGGAATTATAGTCATTGATAATCGATAGTTGACATTGCATTGGGCCATGTTTTATCCATTTTATCATTCTATTCTGGCCTATTTTCGAATTCGTTTGTCACTTTTTCCTTGTCAGAGAGGTCCTGAATTTGTTAAATACTGGATTTAATCAGCCGTCATAGCTTGCTTTTACCTTTGGTCAACGTATTTTTATGTTTTAAATTCACTGCATCTTAATTGAAAGATGTTGATTTACCTCCATGATAGTGATAACACAGTGCTCGAGATGCTACGTTCTGAATCGTTGTTATAATTTATTTTATTGTTGAACTGTGGTGAATAAACCTCCTTTGTTATTTTTCTAGAAACTTCGGTTCCAATTCATTAATGCTGTCACGCTAAAATATCTTTCAGAAAAGGATTCCACAAATTTTTTAAAACTATTTTTGTTCATTTGCATATCGAATCATAATCACCCAGTCAGTTTTCGACTATTAACAGTCTCACTTATAGATGTTTAACATTTTTTTGATTTTGGATCGATCAAAAACTGCTTTTGCCTTCCGATTTCGCATCATTGACTAAACGTTTAAAGTTTTATTATTGTCGCAAAATAATATTTAGTTCTCCTATGTCGACGAGAATATATCGTTTATGGCAGCCCGGAAATCCGAAAATAAGAGTATTTTTGCCCGATTTTTGGATAAAAATAGTCGACCCCTACCCTGTCCGATTGCCTAAACATGTTGTTAAATTCGAAGTTGACAAAAGGTTTGTTATATTTGATAATGCTTCTTCTGATAATAGATGCACGTTTGCTATCCCAGATAAAGTACTGAGTAATCCCTTATCCAGGATGACGAGACACGATGTCAGAGAATATTTGGAGAAAATATATAACCTCCCAGTTCGAGAAGTTCGCACCTTGGTAAATTTTCATATAGTTTGTCGAATTTCAATAAATTTGATTCCATGTTCATCCTTCCTGCGATGTCTGTTTCCTTTTCTGTGTAACTGCTTCCGTCTGCTTTGATGTTTTCTCGCATTTCCTCGTTTTCCAAGCTCTATAGTTGTTTCGTTTAAAGCTGCACTTCTATTTCTACTAGTAAGAAGTCTTTGTCATTCCTTTTTACCATCTGAGGTTTTCAGATAAAAGCTGGTCAAATTACATATGATTTTCCGCTCGATAAAGAAAAGCGAAGAGCCTTGTGGAAAGAAGATGACAGAAAATATGCATACGTTTTTATGGTAATTGCAATGGCGATTTCATTATCTCTTTATCGAGTAGTCAAATTGAAATTACTATTCAGGATTTGTTTCAAAACCTCTTTGCTTGCATTACGGAACAACCTATTATATTTACTATCAACGTTTGTATTGATTTACACAATATAACAAATTTATAAAACATCCAACCATTTAATTATTCTAAATTTCAACTTTTTGTTTCCCTTCACCACTTTATTATTTAGGTTTCTGCTATTTTCCATGTCTTTTAATTTTCATTTGTAATTTTCATTTTTATTTTTTCATTTCTATTATTTCCTATTTTCCTCACCTTCAATTTTGGTCTGTCCTTCCTTTCCTGCAAAAGTGTTACAGAGGAAAGGATTCGAATTTCAACTTCCAAATTTGTTCGAGAAGTGCGAGGAGCAAGAAATGTGGGACAAGATGAAACAGAAGATGCCGGATGTGACGAATGCCGAATATATCAATCGCGATCGTCATGGCGTGGGAGAATTCTTACCTTAAATTATTAGTTCCGATTTGTCTGTTGCTCTTATTAATTGTATCTCAGCTTGAGTTTGTTTTCAATGATGACTTTTGCTAAAGGTTTTGTTAAAATTGAAAGAATTTTAGAACCATGCCGGTATTTCCGAAAGGTCTATGATGAATCTGTTTCCATATTCAGCTGTCGCTTAATCACCGAAAAACACATTATACTGAGTGACTGTATAATAACTCTGCTGTTTCAGGTATTCAAAATAATATTGCTAAGAAAGATTATATTGAATTATCATGTATTATATGTGTTTTCCCACCGAGTGTAAATTCTTGAAATCTGGTAAAATCAGTGATGTTTGATAAACTAACCGAATAATCCTAAATGTGTACAGAAGTTGTTTATGCTTTGTTTGGCCGTACCTAAATACTTTTTTTTGTTTTCTGATCTATTCCAACTTCGTACTTTTTGCAGATTGTCCATCCACATCAAATACTCGGTCTTTTTTACTGACGGCATGGAATTTTCTAAAGTATAAAAATATTTCACGTATCAGTTGGAAAATTTCAAGTGAGGTTTCCGAAGAATTACCAGACAACATTAAATTGAACACAAGGGAAGTAGGAGGTTGAGAACCCGGACTGGGGAGGAAGGTCATGTGTAATAAACGGTAATTCCATAATTCCACATTGTGTTCATTAGTCTTCCCGTATTTTACTTCTCATTGTGCTGTTAACTTATTCACTATAGTAAAACATTTGCTACAAAAATTTTTTGATTTATACAACATAGGACTAAACAGCTTATGAGTAATTAAACTAATTCATTTTATTCCATGGCTGTTGTGGACCTGAGAGATTGTCCCAATTCCTTGGTTTTTCATTGAGTCGGCTCTTATAGCTATTTTGTATTCGTTCTGGTGTCAAATTGACACATCTTGTCTGTCCAAATAAATGAAGCTGTAGGATGAGTAACTTGGAAAGATTGAACTCAATTAATGATAATGAAACATGGTTCTATGGGACACGTGACAGAGACGAGCGAACCGAGATGACAGACCAGACTGTTTTGAGTGAAGCACAGGTAATTCCTTTTCTCAAACCTCTGGTTAACTTTAATGAAAGAATTAAGAGCAGTAAATTATATCAAATAATGAAATACTGGAAATCATTGGTAACTTGTTTCGAGCTTTTGTCTTTTGCATACTTATCCATAAGAAGTAACCTCATATAATGTACTTTTATTTTATGATACAGTAGAAGAAGAAGGATTTGAACCTCTCAAACCGAACATTTTGTCATATATGTATTGTAATCAAGGTGTGTCTGGAGAAGCAAAAGCCAAAACGAAGTCTTTTCGATGATTCATTGGGTTCCTTTTTGGTTTACAAACGGCAGAATGACGCACTACTAAAATGCGAGCAAGAAGGACCAATGGCAAGGGTGTTTGCGTTCGAGTATTCCATTCATCATCCAGGTTGATAAAAGTGGATATAATTCAAACTAAAAACTACGGAAGTCGTTCCCGAAGTGTTATACTCAAGTTTCAAATTTTTTTTTTGTAGAATTATCTAGTATCAAGGGAATGATTTCGACTACTTGGGCTAGAAAATGATATTTTAAAATATACATAGAAAGCCTGATTTTTATAAGCCATCTAAATACATGGCGAGACTGGTTATCTTTCTGGATTGCGTGTGCTTTCTTCACGCATTATTTTCTGGTGGTCATTTGTTGGATAAATACCTTTTTCATTATTCGATTAAATTCTCTGCAGGACAAAGGCAGTATCTTGTATCGACGGTAGAACGATTCTGGGAGTGGTACAAGAAACAGTATGACGTTTCATTTTACGAACTGATACCACAAAATCGTCCTGCACATCTCTATTTTGATCTTGAATTTTATCGCGAAACGAACCCCGATGTTAAGGAGGAGGATTTAATTAAGGATTTTAATGACTGCGTCAGTGAAGTGTTCATGGAAATGTTTGGTATTGACTTGGATCCAGAAAAAGTTGGTATTTGACTTTCTGTTAGAAAAAACAAGAAATAATGTCATTTTTGTCAGAAAAAAACAGTGCTGATTTCACTCAACTTTAATTTTAGCTGAATTGCGAGTTAGAATTTTTTAAAATTTGAGAAATCTAAGGCATCAAGTGTTGAAAGCTTAGCAAGGAAGAAGGTAGTTGTGATCTTGGATCTGTTGGGATTTAAAACTTTTCATTATTCTTTTTCAATCGTTTGCTGCTTATCATAATTGAGTTGGAATTTCGAGAAAAAGTTAAACAAAAGGAATACAAGAAGTAAACAATGACCAGCACTAATAATGCTGACTATGCAACGGTGATAAGTGGCCGTGGTTACGTTGACTCATTATTTTACAGGAAATGTTGGTACTTAATGCTTCAACGATTACAAAATTTAGTGAGCATATTATCATTCATTTAGTCGACAACCATTTATTTCCATCAAATATATCTATGAAATCTTTTATACAGCAACTGAAGGAAAATATGTTATCATCTGGTCGATGTTTAGTTTGGAATGCAGACGCTACCAAACTTATTACATTGTTTGATGCAACTGTTTACTCAGCGTAAGTTAAAATTTTTCACATGCTATAGTAAGAGGGATTCAAGTGATTGTGATGAAATTCAAGTTTCTGATGCCTCTAAATTAGCGCAAACTACCCTGCTTGTCTGGATAGAAAACAATGTTCCAGTCTAAATTATTCTTTCCTCATACTAGCTAGTCCTGGAATTCTTTTTATGTTTATAACTTGCAGTCTTCTTGTGGCAGAGAATAATGCTGACAAGCTCAGAAGTGTTTTTTATTCTTTATAATTGTGAAGGCAAGTGTAGTTACACTTAAATCTTCATTTTGAGCAGATTTTTTATACAAATTTTCGCTTACTACTCAAATGGATTTTTACCAGCTTTATGAAACGGCACTTCTATTACTTATTTATAGCCTTACTTTCACTTTGTCAATAGCAAGTAGTATTTTCAGGAATCGTAATTTTCGTTTGTACCTGTCGTCAAAATTGGGAAAAAACAACCCTTTAGTGCTCTCACAACGTTGTAATTTTTATGCCCATAGGAAGCATCTTTCAAGGCGACAGATTTTTCTCGATTCACTAGTTGTACCTGCCAGCTACAATACTCCTGAAATTATTTATATCCCGAAAGTTGAAAACGGAGAATATCCGGACATCCAAAGTAGAGAACGAAAAATCCTTACAATTTCTACACGAGGTATGTTTTGAAATCAAACTAGAAGATCAAGATAGTTATTCATCGGACTTGCTTAATTTCAGGACTTAAACATTGTCTTGCTTCCGTATTGTAGTATTCAAGAGATAGGTAGTAAGTTGATAGTAAGTTGTTTAGACATTGTAAAATAAGTTCTAAACACCGAAATGTATGTCTCTTGAACAGCAGTGTCGAAGAACATTAAGTGTCCAAAGTAGTTTATAGTGTTTTCCAACTAAACTGGATCTGGCAAAAGAATAAATACAAGAGATGCACTATTAATAATTTTTCAACCATCAATTATTAGCGGTTAATCATCAGTAGTTCAGTTCATGCATCAAATGAAAACGTGGTTTATATTAGTGGCCGTGGACCAACTTCACCTTTTCCCGTATTGGACCAACATATCATTGCTATAAACAGGTGCGCTTTCAAATAATTGCAAGTGATTAATCCGTTTGCCCCTTTAGAATGACAAAATATCTTCAGATGGTGGAAGGATAATGCATCCATTCGACAGTGGAAATTGTCAGTGGATAAATTTACAATTTCCCGACATATCATTTATTATGTATGTTAACATTTTCGAAAGGTTTTTTGTGGATTTAACTTTATTTATGTAGCGGAATAAACAAAAGGAAATGATCCTGCTAACTTTTCATAAGACTACACTTACCTTATTTCTTTTATCTGCACTTCCTTGTCTGCGAAAGGTGAAAATTTCATCCGATTTTAATTTCCGTTTTCTGTTCTATCATTACGAAAAACAACTGGAGTCTCTTCAAGATAATATTTTGCGTAGTGGAAAAACTACTTTTTTAAGATTTCAAATTGTCGTTTTTGTTTCAATATCGGGCGAGAGCATCGAAGTAACGGAGTATATTGGATTGTGGATTTAGATAAGCTGCATTGTTTTCAAAAATGTTTCGATATCGATTGTAATGGTAGCAGTTCGAATTATTTTCCTTTGCCTAATTTTGTCTGCACTTCCTTATCTACGAAAGGTGAAAATTTCTTTCGATCTTAATTTTTATTACAACAACATTGCCTCTTTCTCATAAGCTTTTTATCACCTTCAGCTAAAGTTGGAACGTTTTGTTTCGAACTCGCAGTCCTCGTTATACTTAGTTAATCAGCTGATTATACATTGAACTAAGTTTCATAATTTAAGCATTATTTTGCTTTTTAATATTGTGCTGACTAGTTTAGGCAAAAATCATGGATTTCAAGTTTATATGTGTCATTCGTCCACCAAGCTTTTTTAATTTTCATTTTAACACAACTAACACATATAGAAAATTTTCCTATAGAAAATCTCTCTGTTTTCTGTTTCATATATATATATATATATATATAATATAATAATAATATATATATATATATATAATAATAATAATAATAATAATAATAATAATAATAATAATAATAATAATAATAATAATAATAATAATAATAATAATAATAATAATAATAATAATAATAATAATAATAATAATAATAATAATAATAATAATAATAATAATAATAATAATAATAATAATAATAATAATAATAATAATAATAATAATAATAATAATAATAATAATAATAATAATAATAATAATAATAATAATAATAATAATAATAATAATAATAA